GAGAAAACAAGATATTCCATGACAAAACTAGATTCAACCAATATGTGTCCACTAACCCAGCCCTACAGAAAATTTTGGAAGGAAAACTCCAACCCAAGGAAGCTAACTACAACCAGAAAAACATAAGCATTAGAGAATCCCTCTCTACCAACAGCCAAAAGAACAAAGGGGTGAAATTCCACCCATAATTCCACCAACAACAACCATCGCAAATCGAAGAAGGATGAGCAATCAATGGTCATTAATATCCCTCAATATTAACGGCCTTAACTCACCCATAAAAAGACACAGACTAGCAGAATGGATTCGAAGACAGAACCCTTCCTTCTGCTGCATACAAGGAACACACCTCACCCTCAAAGACAGACATTACTTGAGAGTTAAAGGTTGGGAAAAAATTTTTCAATCAAATGGACCCAAGAAACAAGCAGGGGTAGCAATCCTAATATCTAACAAACTAGACTTTAAAATAAAATCAATCAAAAGAGATGAAGGAGGTCATTACATACTCATCACAGGTGAAACACACCAAGATGAAGTATCTATCCTGAACATCTATGCCCCCAATACAAAGGCATCCGCATTCGTTAAAGAAACATTATTAGAACTTAAATCTCATCTAAAGCCCCACACAGTTATAGTGGGAGATTTCAACACACCACTCTCACCACTAGACAAGAATACCAGACAGAAACTCAACAAAGAAGCAAAGGGTCTAATAGAAGTAATGACCCAACTGGGATTAACAGATATCTATAGAACATTTCATCCACATAAAAAAGAATATACCTTCTTCTCACCACCACATGGAACCTTCTCAAAAATCGACCACATACTTGGCAACATATCAAACCTCAGCAGCTACAAAAAAATTGGAATAACTCCATGCATCTTATCAGACCACCATGCCTTAAAATTAGAATTCAACAACAACACAAATTGCAGAAAACCTACAAACTCATGGAAATTGAATAATGCTCAACTGCACCATCCCTGGGTCAAAGAGGAAATAAAAAAAGAAATTAAAGACTTCCTCGAATTCAATGAGAATGAAGACACAACATACCCAAGCCTATGGGACACTTTGAAAGCAGTGCTACGGGGGAAGTTCATAGCACTAAGTGCTCACATGAAGAAACAGGAAAACAGTTATACCAGAGAATTAACATCACAGCTAAAAGCTCTAGAACACAAAGAAGCAAACTCCCCCAGGAGGAGTAGACGCCAGGAAATAATCAAATTGAGGGCTGAAATCAACAAAGTAGAAACCAGGAAAACAATACAAAGAATCAATGCAACGAAGAGTTGGTTCTTTGAGAAAATCAACAAGATAGACAAACCTTTGTCCAAACTTACCATACAGCAGAGAGTGAACACGCAAATTAACAAAATCAGAAATGAAAAGGGGGACATAACAACAGACTCTGAGGAAATCCAGAGAATCATGAGGTCATACTTTGAAAACCTGTACTCCACAAAATTCGAAAATTTAAAGGAAATGGATGACTTCCTGGACAGCTATCATTTGCCAAAACTAAATCAAGAACAGATAAGCAATTTAAATAGACCTATAACCCCTATGGAAATAGAAGTAGTCATCAAAAGTCTCCCAACCAAAAAAAGTCCAGGTCCAGATGGCCTCAGTGCAGAATTCTACCACAAATTCAAAGAACAGCTTATACCAATTCTTCTCAAAGTGTTCCACACAATAGAAGCAGAAGGGTCTTTGCCAAACTCTTTCTATGATGCTTCAATAACCTTGATCCCCAAGCCACACAAAGATACAACCAAGAAAGAGAACTTCAGACCAATATCCCTCATGAACATTGATGCAAAAATACTCAATAAAATACTGGCAAATCGGATCCAAGAACACATCAAAACAATCATTCACCACGATCAAGTAGGTTTCATCCCAGGGATGCAGGGATGGTTCAACATACGAAAATCCATCAACGTAATCCACCATATAAACAAGCTGAAAAACAAAAATCACATGATCATCTCACTAGATGCTGAAAAAGCCTTTGACAAAATCCAACACCCCTTCATGATAAAGGTCTTGGAGAGATCTGGGATAACAGGGACATACTTAAACATAATAAAAGCCATATACAGTAAACCAACAGCCAACATCAAACTAAATGGACAGAAACTCAACGCAATTCCTCTAAAATCAGGAACAAAACAAGGCTGTCCACTCTCTCCATACCTTTTCAACATGGTACTTGAAGTTCTAACTATAGCCATACGACAACAAAGGGGGATCAAGGGGATACAAATTGGGAAGGAAGAAGTCAAACTTTCACTGTTTGCAGACGATATGATAGTTTACATCAATGACCCAAAGAACTCTACCAGGGAAGTCTTACAGCTGATTAACACCTTCAGCAAAGTGGCAGGGTACAAGATCAACTCAAGAAAGTCAGTAGCCCTACTATATACAGATGATAAAAGGGCTGAAAGAGAAATCAGAGAAACATCACCCTTTACAATTGCCACAAACAACATAAAATACCTTGGGGTAACACTAACCAAACAAGTGAAAGACCTGTATCATAAGAACTTTGAATCTTTAAAGAAAGAAATTAAAGAAGCCCTCAGAAAATGGAAAGATCTCCCATGCTCTTGGATAGGTAGGATCAATGTAGTAAAAATGGCAATCCTGCCAAAAGCAATCTACAGATTCAATGCTATCCCCATTAAAATCGCAGCACAATTCTTCACAGACCTTGAAAGAACAATAATCAATTTTGTATGGAAAAACAAAAGACCCAGGATAGCCAAAACAACCCTGTTCAACAAGGCAACGTCCGGAGGCATCACTTTCCCTGACCTCAAGCTCTATTATAGAGCTATAGTCCTGAAAACAGCTTGGTATTGGCACAAAAATAGACAGGCAGACCAATGGAATCGAATTGAAAATCCGGGTATTAACCCACACACGTACAAACATCTGATCTTTGACAAAGAAGCTAAAAATATACAATGGAATAAAGAAAGCATCTTCAACAAATGGTGCTGGCATAATTGGAGACTGGCATGTAGAAAAATGCGGATCGATCCATGTTTATCGCCATGCACAAAACTTAAGTCCAAATGGATCAAAGACCTCAACATAAATCCAGCCACACTGAACCTCTTAGAAGAGAAAGTGGGTGGTACCCTTGAACGAATTGGTACAGGAGAGAGCTTCCTGAACATAACACCAGTAGCACAGACAGTGAGATCAACAATTAATAAATGGGACCTACTGAAACTGAGAAGCTTCTGTAAGGCAAAGGACACAGTCGGCAAGACAAAAAGGCAGCCCACAGAATGGGAAAAAATATTCACTAATCCCACATCTGACAGAGGGTTGATCTCCAAAATTTACAAAGAACTCAAGAAGCAAGTCTCCAAAACAGCAAAGGACCCAATTAAGAAGTGGGCTGCAGAACTAAATAGAGAGTTTTCAATAGAGGAGTCTAAAATGGCTGAGAGGCACTTGAGAAAGTGCTCAACATCCTTAGCCATCCGGGAAATGCAAATCAAAGCAACTCTGAGATACCATCTCACTCCTGTCAGAATGGCTAAAATCAAAAACACCAATGACAATTTATGCTGGAGAGGATGTGGTGAAAGGGGGACACTCCTCCATTGCTGGTGGGAGTGCCAACTGGTTCAGCCACTTTGGAAAGCAGTATGGAGATTCCTCAGAAAAATGGGAATAAACCTACCACAAGACCCAGCAACTCCACTCTTAGGCATATATCCAAAAGATGCCCATTCATATAACAAAGATGTCTGTTCCACTATGTTCATAGCAGCTCTATTTGTAATAGCCAGAACTTGGAAGCAACCTAGATGTCCCTCACCCGAAGAATGGATAGAGAAAATGTGGTACATCTACACAATGGAGTACTATTCAGCAGAAAAAAATAATGGAATCATGAGATTCGCAGGCAAATGGATGACACTAGAAGAAACCATCCTGAGTGAGGTAACCCAGTCACAAAAAGAGAAACATGGCATGTACTCTCTCATATATGGATTTTAGACATAGATCTGGGGAGTGCCAGCCTACAATCCTATTGCCAGAGAGTCTGGGAAACAGAAACTTCATTTACTGGGTGGTTAAGTACTGAGCTGAACTCAAGAAAGCCAGTATCAGAGAGGGAGGACTGATGATCAAAGGGATTAAGACTGGGCTGGTTGAACCCCCAGAAACAGCTGACCAGACAAAGGTTAACTCTTGAATCCCAGGCATCAGCCTGGGAATCCAGCATGGGACTGATCAAGACCCCCTGAATCTGGGTGTTTGTGAGGAGGCCTAGGTAATCTATTGAGCCTTGGACAGCAGATCAGTACCCATCCCAAGTATACACACGGTCTCTGGACTCCCATAGAACAATGTGAGGTGCACTCTCACCCTGAACTCTTGGGGAAGGGTCTAGGCCCTGCCCTATATGAAATGACAGACTATGGACACCCCCATGGAGGGCCTCACCCTCCCTGGGGGAATGAGGGGATAACGGGGGGGGTGGGGGGAGCGCACGGGAGGAGGGGAGGGAAAGGGAGAGGGACCTCGTACTGACTTGTGAAGCAACCTTGTTTCTTATCTAAATTTAAAATGGAAAATAAAAAAAATATTAATTAAAAAAAAAAACATTGTACCAGGTAGGAGCAAAAAAATCTTTTAGTCAGGTCTCTGAGCTGCTCTTACATTTGTGTCAGGAAAGGCAAATGTGAATAATAATTTTACAGTGTATATTTTAACTTTTACTGAAACAATTTAATAACATTAAGTTAACCATATTGAATACTTTCTAGAGAAAAATGCCTTGTTGTGCTCTATGAGCACTGGACTTTGGACACTCGTGATATGAGTTCTTGCACTGGATTTAAAATGATAATGTAGGAAAAACCATAATGGAGCTTTGAATAAGAATGCCTGTTTGGTAGTGTCAGTCCCTCATTCATCAAGTGCACCATCCTGTAAATGCCATATTTGCACTCACCTTTCAGCTTCATTGTAGCTGCACAGCCTTAGAAAGCACCGACAATGGCATTTTATGTTTAAATTCCTGAAGCCTCATACAAACTCAATCTGTTGTAGATTCCTTCTCCCTCTCCTTCTTCTTTTCTCCCTTAATTTGAAGAAAGGAAATGACATTGTAGACAGAACCTCACTTAGCACAGGGATTCCCACTTTCTGATATTCACATATACCTTTCTGATTTAGAATGTAAATTGTCCAAGTTTTCACTTATTTTCAAGTCACCTTGGACCTGTCTTGGGGCTATTTCAGGAAGACAAGGTTTCCTTCGCTATGTCCATTTATCATTCTAACAAGTACTGTTAGGAGGAGAATAATTATTTTGGTATTTCATCCTTAAAATCCAATTCTTCTAAGGTGCTAGGTGGATGTGTAGCAGAGATTAGAGGAAATACAATCTGAAGGAACTTCCTCCTCTAGAATTTTCAGTCTGTTTGCCCTCCATCTCTACGGCAATACTATCACAACTTAAATAGGAAGTCATCACATTTGTTTTTGCTGATGTATGATGACACTACATTGAGAGGTCACTTACTGTGTGACTACATTTTTATTTTTAATTTAAAAAGTTTTAAGATAATATTCATTAGTTTTAGACAACACATAATATAATTGTACATATTATAGGATACATAATAAAGGGTTAGTGACCTCAAACCTCAAGTGTACCAAACAGGAAAGTTGACTTGATTGATAGCTCCTGTGAAAGTTGCTTGTAAAGATTCCAGCATATCAACCTACATTAAGACTGCAGGGAATATTACTTATAGATGGAATCTTCAATTGTAAAAGTCTGATTTTCTACCTTATTAAGCCCCCAAACCCTTTGAGCCATGTGGACATAGTTTCCACTTCTGTGGAGAGACCAATATCCTTCATTGTTCTGATTAAAGGGCAATGTAAGGCTGGGCAGTGGTGGTGCACACATTTAATCCCAGAACTCTGGAGGCTGAGGAAGGTAGATCTCTGGGTTCAAGGCCAGGCTGGTCTACAGAGAGAGTGTCAGGACAGCCAAAGATACATAGAGACACTGTCGCAAAAAACAAAAAGGTGGTGGTTGGTGGGACAATAGGTATTTGGTAAGGCAGGCATGTATTATTATTATTCCTCCTCCCCCTCTTCTCCTCTTCCTCATCTTCCTCTTCCTCCTCCCTCTCCCTCCTCCTCCTACTCATCCTCCTCTTCCTCCTTATTCTTCCTTCTTTCTTCTTTTTTTCTTCCTTTATACAAACAATACATTCAGACTGCATCTTCCCCTCTCTCCACTCTTCCCAGTGGTGCTCTCATGTTCCCTTTCTACCAAATCTAGTGCACCTTTGTTTTCCTTCAGAAAAGAGCAGTCCTCCCAGAGCTATCAACCTAACTTAACAAAACATTCAGTAAGACTAGGCACAAATCCTCATATCAAGGTCAGACTAGGCAACCCATTAGGAGGAAAGGGAACCTAAGATCAAGCAAGAGTTAGAGATACCACCACTCCAACTATAGGGAGTCTCACAGAAATCCCAATCTGAACAATCACAACATATTTTTTATATCATTTTTTATTTTAATTTAAAATAGCTTGTTTTACATGTCAATTCCAGTTCCCTCTCCCTCCCCTCCTCCCGTACTCCCCTTCCCCCCCAGCCTCCCACCCTATTGCTAATTCCTTCCACATAGGGGATATCTATAGTCTGTCATTTCACTCCAGGTAGGGTCCAGGCATTCCCCTAAGAGTCTAGGCTGAGAGAGAGCATCTCTCTTTGTGCTATGGGCACACAATGACTGTTTGTATTCCAGGGATAGACACTGATCCACTGCTCAAGGCCCCATAGGTTGCCCAGGCCTTCTCACTGACACTCACATTTGGGGGGGTCCAGATCAGTCCCATGTTAGCCTCCCCGCAACATATTTGTAGAGAACCTAGCACAGACCCATGCAGGCTCTGTGATTGAGACTTCAGCCTCTGTGAGCTTCTGTGGTCCTTGCTTAGTTGATTCAATTGGCCCTGTTCTTCAGACATGTGTTGTTTGTTAGATTTTTAACATTCCCTCTAAAATAGTTCTTTCATTACCTCTTACCTGGCAATAACAAAATAGTTCCTCATAAGTTGAGTTTGAAGAAGTTTCACAGTATTTAAGAAGAGACATTTAATGGAGTTGAGAAACAGATATGTGTTTCCATGATCCACAGAGTTTGAAAATGCCAGTGCAAATATCCCAGCTTTTCTCTGTCTTTCTCTTCCTCTCTACCTTCCCCCTCCCACCCTCCCTCCCTTCCTTCTTTTCTATCCCTTCCTTCCTTCATTCATTATCTCTGTTCCTTTGCTTCTTTGTTCCTTTCTTTCTTCTGACAAACATTCATTTTTCACTCAAAACACTGTTGTCATCTCTGAATTAAAGTATTTCTATCAATTCTGACACAAATTCTAGGGCCCCTCCCCACTTTCTTCTTGCTCAGTGTAAAGTCCAGTCTAACAGTGATCACAACTTCCCAATTGGTCTCAGGCTTACATTAACAGTAATCTGACATTTATTAGAGTATTGTTTTGACTCTGAAATTTAAGGCAAGGTTTGCCACATAAGACACATGCATTCATTCATTTAACAAATAATAAATATCTAGTATATCTGGCAATTTCCAGGCACCTGGAGATGTTAATGGATGAAACAAAGATAATAGTCTTCCTGTGGACATATGATTAGCACAGAAACATCACTAAGTTATTTGTTTCATGTTGAATTAATGGTTGCATTAGTGTGCTCATCTTCAGCATTTTCCTAGTTCTACCAAAGTGTTAACTTGGTGCTTTTAAAATTATTATACTTAATCATATGCCATCATCTAGCCTAATGTGAGAATCTAACCATAAAAATAGGATTTCCTTCCCAATGTAAATTTTACATTTTCCAAAAGCCTTCAATATTTTATTACTCAAAGAGGTTAGTAGTCACAAACTAGTCCTGAAGGCAAACTGGAAATAGGATGTCAACCTAATTGTACCAAGCCATGTCTTGTACATGGTGAAAGTAACTTATACTTGCAGAATACTTTACAAATCCTTCTATGTATTTACATTATTTTTAGCACAATTCTATACTCAATCATTATAATAGTGTTAATGAAAGACAAGAAAGTGATTCTGCCGTGAATGGTGTTTGCTTTCCTCTGTTACTCTAATGTCAAACTTGGAAAAAGTGTATTGCATCATAAGCAATCTCATTCAAGACAAAAATGCCACCATATTTCCTCTAAATTTATTTGTACACAGTTTTATTTTACATGTTTAAAATCACATTTAAAAATAATATTTCCATGTTTCTATTTTCTGAATGAAAAGGTGTCATCTTTAGTTGATATGGTTTATTATATAGTTCTATTTTTGAATCATTTCAAACCCTTTTCTACCTTTATACAATAGGTATATAAAATATTTTTGTACTTTTTTGAGTATGCCCTCAGGATATGTTACAGAGAGACACACATTATATAAAATGAGATGAATATTTTATGTAGCATTGAGAAGAGACTAGGAGAAAAGTACCAACCCCAAGAGCATTGTGAGTTCTTATTTTATACAAAACACATTTCCATAATATCATTTGACTAATCTTTGCTTATATAGTCATTGAAAGAGAATCTTTGCTTTCATTTGCATTGCCAAGGTGGGCATTTTTAGATATGTTTTCAACAATTTACATTATATAAATTTTGAGCAGTCTCACTTCCTCATTCTGTATTCATTGCTTGTCTGGAACTCACTATGTAGCTCAAGCTGTTTTTAGACTTGGGACATCCTTCCTGCCTCTCAATCCCTGGTTTACTGAGATTATTTACAACTGAGATTATTTACAAAGATGTGACCCAGCTTGCCACTTTGTGAGAAAAGTGGTAGAATTTTCTAATGGATCAGTAAATCTCTCCATATCAAGAAGATGAATCGCCTTTTAGTGTCATTTACTACAAATCTTCAAGTATGTATACATTAGTAATAAAATAATTTCAAGTGGCTAAATGTTATCCTTTTATATCATTTTTACTACATGAAGTAGATAACAATACAATGAAAATGGAAATAAAATAGTCTGTATTTCCTAATGTTATGTACACTAGAAATCAAGTGTATTCTTTGAAATTTGATGTTATAAATATTCTTCTTTACCGTGTGATACTGTTTTTCTTGCAAATCATTGTAAAAGGTTACAACACTTTGACTTGAGTCTGAACGCACAGAATGAGAGCTTTATATTAAGCTGTATCCTACGTGTGTGCTGTTCAGTTTCTGCTGTTATTTCTTGTCACAGTAGAAGAAAGCTCAACACAGTTGTTAATTGGCTTCTCTGGGCTTTAAAATACACACTCTTACACTTTCTAGTCTTTTGGTTCAGATACTCCCCTCAGGTAGTTAACTTGTGATCATTATTGAATTGATTCTTAATTTTATATGGACTATTAATCTCCTTTTCACTCATATTTCATCAATGATACATTCACACTAACTTAAGAATGATTGAACTGAATTTTGACAAGTACATGTCATTGATGGAAAATAAAATTGAGTTCTAAGATCTTTTCTATCAGGTGTTAAAGTTCAGTGAAACTGATTCATAAGCATTAATCAAACATGGTCTTAAGAATTTTAATGCAAATAATTCTTATAATACTATTAGTCTATCTCTCAGAATTTTAAAATATTACAAAGTAATTGTCTAAGATTTTATACTTTATTTCCTTTAATTATCTATCATTTATCTATCATCTGTCTATTTACTCATTTATCTATCCATCTATGATTGATTAATTCCTGGTATGCAGCAAAGGCTGATCTCAAAATTCCATGTAGTCTGGGCTGGCCACACACTCATGATTCCCCTGCCTTTTTAATCCAGTGCTTAATTTACAAACATGTATCGCTGTCCCTGATTTTCATTTTATATTATACTTAATTTCAGAAGTTCTATACTCTTACCTTCTAAATATTTTGTACAATCCATTGTTCTTACTGCCAAGATCTTTTTAGTGACACTGACCTCACCTTTCCCCTCAAACACTACAATACCCTTCTGTTTTCTCTGTTTGAATTCTTGAACATTGCTCTCCATGAAACAG